ACACACACACACACACACACACACACACACACACACACACACACACACACACACACACACACACACACACCATTTGTTGAATGGATGGTACAATATTAATAGTGAATATTAAAATAAGGGAACATGTTGTATTATTAAGTGTGTCCTCCTTACGTCATCACTATGTGATGTGTCTTTGTGTACATGTGTGTAAATATATGTACCTGCTGGTTATTACAGGTCAGCAGCTGTGTCCTGTGAGGATTGGTCAGGTTGAAGCTGCCGGTGGTGGATGCTGAGCCCTGACTGGATGCATCTCTGGCCTGAAGCAGGAAGCCTTTAAAATGTGGTGTTCCGGATAGAATGACTGGAAATATTGAAAATATTAAGGCAACATGTTATTAGTGAAAGTATGCGTCATCACTTTCAATTTCCTTGTTCTACATGAACAACTTACTGTAACCTACTGTTAGTCAGGAGACTAAGAGCTTTATTTTGGCAAGGTGCAGTCTTCAGCTGAGCTCTTTTTAGAGTTGTGCATTTATAAATCTTTTTGTTTAATTGTTTTGGCAAATAGAATCAGTGGAAGTGGATTTTCAGAAGTCTGAACGAAACATGTTTTATATATTTCTCAGAGGAATAATCACAGCACTGGGTTTTCTTGATATTTGGGTTTTTGAACATTTGGATGCCAGTTGTTGGTTACCTTGGATATGATCTCCGGGGCTGAAGGTGCTGGTGTTGGTTGTTAGGTGATAAGGGCTTTGAGTGGTCTGAGCCGGAGCACTGTGCTTGGGTTCCATGTCCCCACAGGCTTCGGTGACTTTACCATTGGCATAGCAGCCTGATGGCACCCAGTAACACACAGAGACAAAGACGAAGAGAAGACAGGAGCAGCCCACCGAAGACATTTACGACACCAAGTAGACAAGGCGTGACAGGGAGTCGAGAATGTCTGAAATGAAACAGAAATAATGAATTAAATAACAGCTTGTGTTCCATCCCACGTGCAATACATCATGTGCAATATTTTTGATAAATGTATGACTGGACGAATGTATGACTGTATGATTGCTGTTAGTTTAGGTTTTTCTCATCCCTTTCATTATAGCATAGTGTATTTTAATTTTTCACTTTTAATTTTTTT